AATGAGAGCATAAGAAAGCATGTAAATTCCATGCACTCAAGCCGTACTTTTATTTACAGCTTGAACCGCAGAGGGCAGCAAACAAAAAGAAACTGAGCACTGAAGTTTGCAAGTTCACAGCTGCCTGGCAGTTCTAGGGAGGACTGCATTCCCTCTGCTACCAAGATCAATACACAGGCAATTGATTTTGCTTGGCTTTCAGATTCTATTTTGCTGATGGACTTTTTTTGTTTCTAGGAGACTTAAAATGAACAAATCATTTTGACTTAAAAAACTGGTCTTGGCTTGGTCTCACAAAGTATCTCCCAAACTGCTTGAACAGAGGGTAAAAGCAATAATAAGAAGGTAAATTCCCTTTTTATGACTTGTCAGTCAAACCAAGTCACATTCCTATACTCTTATCCTTAATCTAGTCATTTAGCAACATTACTTGATGAAAATATACTACTAAAATCTTCACTCTTTCTGCCATTTGCATCAGATGGTCAACACAGGACTACATCAACATACTCAAGTATAAAAGTAAAGTGATGTTGTTTTAAAAAAACCCCACTTCTATAGTGTGGTGCGCAGTTTTGCCTGTGCTTTATTTGATAGGCATAGGTAGACATTCACAGGTAATAGTCAAAAGTGTGCATTTAAACTGGTGAGTTAAATGGTTCTTATACAATATGGATGGTGAAGTTAATATTTTGCATTTGCAAGTTCAGATACCATCCTGAAGTCTCTTTGGAACAGTGGACTGAGATGTTTGTCGTCTATTTAGCTTTAGCATTTTTTTTTTTTTGACTACTTCTAAATAGCTGTTGTAGCTCCAAGTCCACTACCAGATTGATTTAGTCTTTCCATATCTTTATGAGAAGACATAGTTTTTAATGTCATATCAAAACATACCTATATGTGGAATTCCTGATTTCATTTTAAAACATGCTGAGAAAATTTTTTAGTTGACAAACTGCTACTCAAGTAACAACACCAAGTAAAATATTCTGATAACCAGCTTGAAATGTCAAAGGTGAACAAACTTGCATATTCTAAACAAAGCTTCAAACTTCCACTAGAATAAAAAAAACCCCAAAACACCAACAAACAACAGATGTACATCATGGTCTTCCAAGCCCAGCCTGGTTTTGCTATTTGACAAAACAGTAATGTTTTAAAATTTATTCTGATGATGAAATCCTCTTGCATATAAACTCAATAGAAAAATTGTATACTGAAAATATATTAAAAAAATTTCTAGAACTAAAATTTAACCTGTCAGTTTTATCTGACTAGCACATGTGTACTTTCAATGCTTAGACTAAAACACCTGATGAAAATAAAATCATCTATTGTTTGTCCCAATTTTACAAAGTCTTTCTTTACAGTAACACCAAGATTTTTCCTTACTTGCTTTACTGCAGAAATAGATAAATGTACATGTATGAAGAAAGTACTTCACATATACAAAGTTGAAGCTAGTAAAGAATAAAAATTTAACTTCATAACCATATGAATAGGATTAAATAATTACACTGCAATTTATGCATTTACTAAAAGTAAACACCAGTTTTAGGAAACAAATCCATGGTTCTGATGATACTAGAGAAAAAGAAGAACGTTGTATTAAATTGCAGACATTGGAGATTAAAACATTCTTTAGAACAACTTATGTACCACCTTACAAAATGGTAACATTTTATGGGCTTATTGAAATGGGAAAAAAAGCTGCCACATCATTGCTTGGAAGACTATTCAACATCTTAACATCACTCACTTGTAGTTGTACTCTCAAAGTGTTTTTTTTTTCCCCCCAGATCATTTTGCCAACAAAACTGCAATCCTGTAGAAATGGAAATTATTTAATTTCATTTAAAAAAATTAAGATTTGGAGTGCTGGAGAAACTTCCTTTGACTTTTTTGGTTTTAGCAAAACTAATAAATTAAGAATTGCTAGTTCAGATGTTATAAATGTCCATCTTTTACGTTATTAATAAACTATTTTTATATTCTATATTTTGATTAATATTTTCTTTCCACATCATCAGAAAAATTTTTTTAGACAGTAGAAACCAAATCTTTTGAGATTATGAAGATGAAAGTTTTCACTCATGCAGTACTGACAATTGAGAATTTGGAATTTCATCTGACTTTGGAACAAATACAGTGTTTCCAGATGTCAGATTTTCCGAGACACACAGAAAAAATCTTTTGACCTACTCTGCTGACCATCATTTAACAAATTGTGTGTTGTACTTTCCATATCCCATTCAGGGAACCAAGGATGGCAAATGCTTTAGTGAAACTAAGTCCTTTTTTTTTTTTTTTGTAACATGGTCCTAAGAAAGCTAAACTTCATCTTTATCAACAGCAGAAATTCCACACTGATAAAACTGATAGCTTACTCCAGCTATTCTTATGTCAGTTAATAATGTTACACTAGTGTCAGCACAACTTTCATCTCTTGTATTCTACATGAATTATCGTTATCCAGTCTTTTACAGCTCTGAATTATAAATAAAAAAAAAAATCCTCTCCATTCTGTCCATAAATATTATTTCCTCAGCTTTTAAAATTTATTCTACAGAGATGTTTCCCTGTATTTACTTCAGCCAAATCTAAACTTCTATTCTAAGCTTCAAATGATAAAAGTGTGATCTTGTCCTTGACTGATGCTGCTCAGTAAGCACAATGTGACTAAGGCTCTTCTGCATGAAAATATTTTAAAACCTAATAAAGTTCAAAACTCAACCTCTGGATGGAGAATAACAAAAATAAAATGCATAAGCAAGTTAAAAAATAAATGGCTTCAGGAACAGTCAGCAAAGCTCACTTTTTTTGTCATATCATTAGTTTTCTAAAATTGAAAAAATAGTATGATCAGATTCATCAGCACTGCAATTCCTGTATGGTTTTTTTTTCACATTACATTAGTAGAAAATGTAATTTAATAGAAAAGTGAGGCCATTCTTGAAACATGACTGTAATCTTCTTATTTTTAACTTGAATCTGCTGTTATTCTTTGGCATTACAAAGGCTGATAAATGACCTCAGTGTGTATAATGCAGCCACAGCAATCAAAAAAGTGCTCAGAAGAAACGGCATCACCTTTTAAATAAAATTATTTGTTTAGATCAGCTTCACAATAAATACTAAATTCCATTTAATTCCATTGATTTATTCGCACTACATCTAGAAATGCCAATTTCCTCTTTGAAAAATACACAGAACTTAATTTCACAGAATGAACTGCAATAACTCAATTTCACAGAAGCACAGCTTAGTATTTTCTTGCTAATGCAAAATTATATACCTGCAAAGACCACTAAAACACAGGGAAAGGTGCTTAGTACACGTGTTTCACACTATTGACATGCTACATATTCTGGAATCCAGTTATTTGCTTAATTTATTTTAAATTAGCAAAATAAATTATCTGAACAAGCATGTAATACAGAAGCAAATAATAATCCAGTACTGATTACATAAACCCCTTATTTAAAACTGGACTCACTCAACCATTTCAACCTCAAAGTAAAAGCCCAAGAATAGGAAATACTGACACTGATATATAATAGTTTTCCTAAAATAAGAAACTATTGAGATAACACAAAGGTAAATTAAAAAGGCTGGGTGAATGTGTCTTTCAGCAAATGAAAACTTCCATTAATGGTCATTTTGCATGCATTAAGCGTAGCTCTATCAGACATGCTTGTGAAAAAATCCACAATTGCACTCTTTATTCAGAAAACAGGAATAAAGCCTTCTAATTACATGTTAAGGTACACTCAGTAATCACAGAGTAATTGAGGCTGGAAAGGACCTCCAGAGGTCATCTAGCCCAACCTCCTGCTCAATGCAGGTCTAATCAGATCAGGTCGCTCAGGGCTGTGTCCAGGTCAGTCTTGAACAACTCCAGAAATGGAGGTTCCACAGCCTCTCTGGGCAACCTTGGCCAGTATTTGACCAAAATCTCCGTAAGTGTACAATTAGGCACACTCTGAAAATGCAAATAGTTTATTTTTATGCATTAATTAATCAGATACCATACATGCTCTTAATACTACTGGTAATGAGTGACGGAGACAGTTGCATGCCAATTAGAAAAAGCAGGTTCCATTAATTCACAGTTCTGCTCATCATCCATTAGGTTTGCAGAGTGGTGGTTTGATTTCTTGGAAATATTAGAAGATCTAAATTTAGCAAATAAGCCAAACTTGCATTTTCAACACAACCATCAGGAAAGAGCGAAGACAAATTGCTGCAAAATCGTATTTGAAAAAGGACCTTCAATATTCATCTAAGTAGTTACAATCAGTAGTAAATAATAAAAAGATGACCTCTCACCAAACCTCTTTACCGTATGACCCATTTCATTTCTGTGTCTTACCGGTCTTTCATGTTCAAGGATTGATGACTTTCCCGGCTCGTATTCAAAAATACTTCGTGGTTCAGAACGGAACTTGCGGGTATCTACCTTCCTGTCAGGGGGATCCCAATCATTTCTGAACAACAAATATGAGCAATTGAGTTAATTTCCTGTCATTATCATCTGCTTTACAGCTCTGTAAAACAAATTAATTTTGGCATGGTTTCTATTTCCAGATTTCAATTGTGGAATGTCTGGCCTAGCATCCCCATGTTTTAGCATCATCTTAACCTGTTTACAGCAGGCATGTTTAGTACAGCAGGAAAAATAGTAGGGCTGTCCGGCCTATGGGATCACTCACACTTTTCTTATAACTGGTAGACTAGTTTAAACACTTCTCTGACATACTGTGTCAAAATACTATGACGTGCTTTCTCAAATTGCAAGCTTCCTGTACTTGTTTTATGCACTATACTAATACAGGCAAGTAGTAGACATTTTTGTTATCATACAATATGATAGTAAATCCATACTGAAAAAGTTACAAAATTTTCTGAGACAAAAAATGAGTAATTATTTTAAAAGTGTAAAAATCAAATAGATGCTCCTTATCTTGATCTGTGGGAGAACTGCTCCTAAATATCCTTGTGTCTTGGTTTTGTCTGGGATAGAGCTAATTTAGTAGCTAGCATGTGCTGTATTTTGGATTTAGTATGGGACTTGGTATGAAAAGAATGTTGCTAATATACTCATGTTTTTAGTTGTTTCTGAGAAATCAAGGACTTTTAAACTTCCCATGCTTTGCTAGTGTGCAGGTGCATAAGAAGCAAAAGCACGCAGAAGACCAACAGACCCAAACTGGCCAACAGGCTACTCTATACCATACAATGTCATGTTCAGTACATAGATGAGGGTTGACTGGGAAGCTCTCTCTCTTCCAGGACTGAGGTTTCAGGATTTTCTC